TCAACTGGTGACATGCAATACATGAGGAAAAGGAGAGGGTGGCTCAAAACTGACCTACCCTCCACATCTATCGCGTCATGCTCTGATCTCTAGGATGATTGCAATGATTCCCCAAATTCGCCAAGGACGGAAGCCTATAGACTACCACAACATCTTGCCTGAGACTCCTTTAACTGGGGTTGAAAATATGAAAACACTGGATTTGTCAACCTCATTTCGAACCTTCTCTGGGACAGAGTCCCAATGCGATCAAGACTTAGTGCTTGCTACGATATAAACGTATGGAGCCCTAAACGTTGCTCTACGACCATCCTACAGACACTGGACCTTGGCCCCGTACTGGGATCTCACTGTCTGGCTTTAAATCAAACACGGTGGAGACATGATATCCCTCTTTATATGTATTAAATATCTTCTCTTTGTACTCTCCAAGTCTGGTCAATACCCCGAATCGGTTGGAAAAAAACGGCTACGGTTCATACCGAGACATAAGTCCGGGTCGAAAACTGACATCCGGGAACTACCGCCCCATTAGTCACACAGCCACTTTCTCACGCATGCAGAGAGAGAATTGTTAAAGAACATTTCGGGTTTCGTTCCTAATTTCGCACAAACATTCTCTCACCTTCACAGCATTGGATTTCTGAAATCTCGCTCGTGTGTTACCTGTCAAGTTGACTTCCTTTAACCATCTAACTGAAGCAATTGACTCAGGTCGTCAGTGCATTGTTATCTTCCTCGACATGCAAAAGGCTTTTGACAGAGTCCCACACAAAAAGCTGTTATGTAATTAAGTAATGTAACGGTGTTACAAACCTGCTTTACTCTTGGATCCAATCTTACCTGATAGGACGGTCGCAAGTGTATGATATCAATGGTTACATCTCTTCACCTCGTCCGGTTACCACTGGATGTGGATGCAGGGCAGTGTCTTAGGCCCGTTGCCTCTTCGTACTGTATATAAATGATCATGGTTTCTGTCATACAAATTGGGAAGCCTTATTTATTTGCTGATGATTTAAAGGTTGGTCTACACGTTTCACATGGTTCTCAGCGTATCGCTGAAGTTAACAATATCCAAAGCGACTTGGAAGCCGTTGAGAGATGGGGCTGATATGTGGCAGATGACATTTGCAACATCCAAGTTGTAGTATTCTATCGTAATGGATGTCAGATAGCAGCAGAAGTGTTCAGGCTTCATGATCGAAGTCATTCCCATCAGCCAGTCTGTTCGTGACTTAGGTTTAAGAATATTCTAGTTCGTTAAACTTTAGCGAACATTACAAACCATATCGTGAAAAAGGCTAAGCAGTCGGTCGGGCTCATATGCCACCTGCTAAACCTTGAAAGAAACCAGACTAATTGCTTTCAAAATCAGTATCTGGCCTTTGCTTGAATATTGTTGTGCTGGTGTTCAGTAACTTGCGAAAGGCTGACTTGAGAGCCATTGAAAACGCGTCCAACGCGCCTTTACGAAGCGCATATTTGGCTGTTCAACCGCTCTTTCATACCGAGATAGGTGCAAGCAAATGAATCTTGAACCTCTGTGGTTACGAAGAATGCAACTAAATCTGTGCTTCCTCCACAATCTCGCGTGGCGGGGAAAGCATATATTGGAACCTATCAATTGCACTTTCGGGAAACACCACTTATGAACTGCGAGATAATGAATGCATCTTCTATTTACCTAAATTCAAGAGCAGTCTAAGGAGAAATTTCTATCTTCTTAGGTATGGCTCCATTTGGAATAAGCTGCCAAAAGAGATTAGATGTATTGAACATTTTTTGCATGTTCAAGAAAATGATAAAGGCTTATCTGTCAACGGACAGAGCGAAATGGATCTTAAACATTCAATTTGATGATGAAAAACTGTATGAAGAAGGGCCGGATCATGTATGATACCGGAGAACATCAACTCTACTGCACCAGAGAAAACTTGATCAGCTAGGATGAGCTGATACAAACCGCTTCTTATGCTATTCCTTAACGCTACATTCCATGCGGTTTTACTCCCTTTAAACTTAATTCATATCAGACTGTCTTCTGTTTAAAACCGAGAGCAAAATTATTTACTGGTGTGACGTCAGGAGCTATTTTCGTAATTTTTCCCACAAATTGATTAATTCGTAATATTGTTCTGCGATCCCTTTCGCTACATTTGTTCTCCAGTGCTAATCATTTCCCCCTCTTTTCTGAAACTAACAGTCCAGAAACATATACTTGAATTCAGTGATGGCAATAACTGATTCCCTACGCGACTTTTGCCTATGGACAACTTGTACAGTCATCTGTCTCCGGGTGTCACGCTACACAATTTATCGTATGATCGGCTCGATCGATTTCTACGCCGATGTACAAAACATACCTGCCTATTTCTTACATTAACGATATAGTACCTCTTTCACAGAATTCTTCTTTTCCATATTCTTCCTTATTTCATAGTTGGCTACGACTGGGCTGATCTCCTGTGGTGACGGATTACAGCTTCCAGATTATAAAAGACTGTTACCTATGCAAGGCAAATTGCCACCCAACTGTCTGGCGCTATAAAAAAGTGCCATAATAGAATGATCCGCATGACGGACTGGGCTGAGCCTTCATGGCCATAATACATGTTCAAAAACAGCTCTAAAATGAACAAAACATATGATATACAGGTGATGGCTCATATTCTACTATGCCACACCAGCACACGGCCAGTTATTGCATGGAAGTGCGAGCGAAACCTTTCGAGGGAATACCTTGCATGGAAGCAGGTCCCCTGGGGATGGTTCCACGAGTGGCCGAATTACTTTAACTGTACATCTGTTTAAATTTGCTTACGTTATTGTTCCTGCTTTTTATTTTCATTAATGCCTTAATCCTGCCAATTAGTTTAGTACCTGTTTTTGGATCCATTGTAAAAGCGTGAACAAATTGATTATTTTTTGCGATCCTGTTGTACACATTGATCAGAACCACATAGTTGGACTGCACCTCGAAACACCGAGGAATATACATTTATCCATTTATCATTTATCAATTTACACCTATTTCTAGCTTTACGGTACCTGTCATAAGTATCGGTGGACGGAGCGTCTCGGTAATGTCCGCCAACATCTAGTACCTCTTGTGATGCAGATGCCTGCCAGTGGGATCTATCCAGGGCGGCTGTGCTCGGGCCTCCTTTTCTCCTAGTGACTGGTATGAAGGGAGCAGAGAGACCTCTGTGAGGTGGGACTTAAATTTATCCCAGGCAACCTGGACATGTATCGTCGTCTGAGATCTCACACATGGAAAACCAGAAGCCTTGGCTCTCATTGATTGATAGTCCTGCTTGCCATATGTTCGGGCCGAGACTCAACCGTACTCTGGTAGCGTCTAGACAGAGTAACAATCGAAGAAGCAAACAAACATGATCACTGGAACCCAGTGGAGGTCCGTAAGTAATGACTCAACAAAATCCGAGTGACTTAGCGAATACAAGGTCCTAAAATAGACGGCAACTTGGGCGTCCATGTACCTATGTGGGGAGGTCAATGAACTGTGCAAAGATACTTGGAGCGTAAGTTACAAGCAGTATCAGCGCCAAATGTGCCTGACGCTAAATCTGCAAGAAAGATCTGCCAGCAAATACTCTGTGGAGGTTGAAGTCGCCCATCACCAAACACTTCATTTGGGGACTGGGAGCGAATGAATTCAAGTACCTCTTGGATACGCTCCCAGGGCTATCTATACACAATTACAACTGTAACCTGAGCCGAGGATGTGGCTAATGACATGCGATAGTAGCCTCAACAGTTCTGTCTGTCAACTGAACTAAGCAAGTCTTCAAACCGACCAGTTTACAGCTCACATAAAGAGCGACGCCCCCTCCCTGTCGGCCAGCAGAGGCGATCGCCTCTAAATAGTGCGTAGCCAGATAGATGTACTTCACCATCCGTGATGTCCAGAGACAGCCACGTTTCAGTGAATGCGAGTATTCTAGGATGAGACCATCTACAAGCAGACCTAACTCGTACACCTTATTCCTTAGGCTGCGCACATTACTTAGCACTAACTGAAAGTTTTTCGGTTAGAGCCAGGACCTGGGACGTGCGCATTACCAGTACTGGCACAGGTAGGGCGGGAAAAAGGACCGCCGGCTGACCACGCCCGACAACCCACAATACCGGAGACCTTGTTCACCGGCCGCTCGCCTACCTTTTGAGGTGCTGTGATGACTGTGACCGCAATGCACCCTTGTGGAAAGCTGTGCCGCATCAAATCACATTATCACAACATTGCGCGGAAAGTGATAGGTCTGACGAAGATCTTTCTATTTGCTCTTTACAAACTAATGAACAATTGAATGGCACCCGCTTATTATACACAGTTTCAAAACAAATATTTGTCTTCATGGTGACAGTTGTTGTCACAATTTCGGCTGCCACAGAATGATCTGACCATAAGTTATCGGTAGTGTTCCACCAGACCGTAATTCAAACGAATGAGTAAAAGCCACTTATAAACTTAATGAAGTTAAGACATCTGAAATATAACATTTGGGCAACAGCTTAGTGAATTAAGATTATCCGTTTTCCAAAGCCGTTATCTTTGTTTTAATGTTGGCTTTTGAGATTTTGTATATAATGGAAAAACAACTTCTCGCCGTATTCCCTGAGTGCAGGATGGTGAACGTGGGACGAGGCGCAGGGGTCTATTAAATGATTCTTAGCTAGATACACCCACGCGTTTCATTACTGCAGCCGTGCATTCACTTAAAATATCCCCCTTTAACCACATTCCATCCCTTATAATAAAAAAAGCACTAATTACGCACACACACCGAAACGTTTCTTTTATTTAACTACTTATTGGACACCGTAAAGATTTAACTTAAATAAAATAACATAAGGTAATTATTTGTTGCTGGAAATGGAACGATGAACCCTCATCTTATGAATTTTTCTTATCCCTCCGATAGTTTCAATTTTCCCGCTATGGGTAGTTGGAGAGCTGCCTAACCTTTTGTTTCTCTGTTAGTACTACAGTCTGGTTATGCCGTGTCAGTATCTCGGGTTCCGTGTGAAACTCAGGTCCACAGAGCTTGGTGAAGTCATTGGCACTGTCTGTAATGTTACTGAATCAAAAATCGAACTTACCGATGCTCGTGTGAATGACGCTGGAGACCCAGTGTCAGTTCTCTCTGTCGAGTAAGTCTCATTAATTTTGCCTTCTCTTCAGCATTGTCCTAAGCTATTTCACCTCTGATTCTACAACGATTCAATTAATTTTCTTCCATGTTTCTAACAATTCCAAACTGATGTTAAACTTTAGGGTCTCCTAAAATTTTGAAGTGACCAAAATCATGAAGGTGTTGATGAAGGAGCGCAAAGAACCATCACCTAACTATCCAGGTCCTTTGGCGAAAAGGCGCCACGTCACTTTCGGTCAAATCGATTGAACCTGGTGTCTAGAAAAAAACTTGTGGGGATACGCTTTCTCTGAGGTGTTTAACGGATAGCAGCGTTATCTTTCACAAGGTTCCAACATGTATAAACCCGAAGCAATAAGACCGAGAGGCATGCAGATGGGAGCCACGTTTCATGAACTGAGCCGGCACACACTCCTTCACAGGTAAAAATCACGCTGTATTTGGGGAAACAAGCGCACACGTGGTGGCTGGACCGTAGTCCGCTCCACGCTGTGCATGGAACCACTCTTCGAGCCTAACACGGCTACAAGGACCGTGCACGCCGTCCCCTACAGGAACGATTAACTGTTTCCCGTAGCCAGTATGGACAAGGTAGTAGATAATAGATAGGTAGGCACCTTGTCAACATGCACACACCCGGGATATCAAGCAACAGCCAATCACTTGAATCGACGATATCAAATAAAATTAATCAAACACAGTGATATAATCCTTCACTTAATCAGCGTATGAAGTAAATTGATAGCAAAAATTTCGAGCAAGCTACAGTACGTCAGATAGTATATATTAAGAAAATGCCACAGCCGCGAAAATGTTATCAAAGTTAACTACAATTAGCTTAAGCAACGTGTGCAAGTTTATAGCAAATACTTCGGGTAGACAATAATATGAGAAAAAGCATTAGGACGATATGGCAAACCCACCACCTGAAATAAAGATACGGCATGTAAAAACGTGGTTAGTAAATCGGATGCAGCATACCCACAAACCCTGCGCCGGTTCTGCCTACTCTGCAGTACCCGTCGTCGCTTCTGTGGTTGTCGCGAGTGGCCTCGCTCATGGCTCACTAGGCCTTCCTGACTCACACTCGCGACCCCATGTGCTACTGCACCATACGCTCGCTATCGTTGGAGTACAACCCATCGGCGCCTGTCGCTTCCGCACTTGCCACTTCTCTTCATACACGAGGGTTTTCTCTTGCACCTCGGCAACTGCCTTCATGATCCAATCAACCGCCTTCGATTCCCATGACCTGCAATCAAGATTAGAACGTGTGAGGCTCACTTTGCTCACGTCCTAGCAACGTAACTTCGGTCTTTCCGCATGTCGCTTCCCAGTACTCAGTTGACCATATACTAGTTGCTTCGGTATCCGCATCGAATCCATACGGTTCACATGGCCGAGCCACCTCAGGTGTCTCAGCAAAAGTATGCAGTCCACTGCATTCATTCCACCGACGCAACACTTCCGTGTCCGCAACTCAGTCGCAGCAACCGATGTACAGAATCCGTCTCAAACACTGTTGATGGAACCGCACGAGATATCGCACATCCCGACGGTACATCGTCCACGTTTCGCTACCGTATAGAAGAACGGACAGCACCATGGATTTGTACGCCATCAGCTTCTTGCCAACGGTAAGCTGATGGTTGTACCACACTCGGTACTCCAGCTTCCCGGATGCCCCCGCTGCCTTTGAGACACGAATACTAGGCTCACCGTGACGCTGCTGGTCAGTCGACATCACACTGCCAAGGCAGCAGAAGCGGGTTGTTTCTAACAATTCAGCACCAATGCTGATTTGCGACAATGTTGAAGATTGCACCTCCGGTGGAGGCTGAAAGCCACGAACAGTTTTGCTTGTATTGATGATGAGCCCGAATTTGGTCGCTGTTGAAGCCAAAGCACAAGTCATGTGCTGCAACTTATCCGCGATGTGTGAAAACAACGCACAGTGGTCAGCAACATACGGAAATTTGTCTCACAGTCTAGGGTTTTCGCACCGAAACGACGTATGTTCAGCAATCCACCATCAATACTGGGCTCCACACGAACACCGTAAGCACAAGCCGCATCAAAAACACATGACATCATTGCATGAAGATAAATATTAAATAGGGCTTTACACCAGTGACAACTGCAAACTCATCCGAGGCCTCTCCACTCAGCTGCACCCTCGCCCGCATACCACTGTGCAGCATTCAATTAAACTTACGTGGGCAACCAAACTTACCCAACACCAGCCACAATGCCTCGCGGTTCACCGTATCAAATGCTTTGGTGAAACCAACAAACAGCGAGTACAACGGCTGGTGTGGTTCTCTGCACTTCTGCAACTGACGAGCCGCAAACACTATCTGTAGTGGTGTGACCCGAACGAAATCCGCACTGCTCTTCCGCCACGTTAGGTTCCACAAGCTGACTGACGAGGCGGTTGAGCAGGATTCGGGCAATCACCTTGCCCACACAACTCAGCAAGTTGATGCCACGATAATTCGTGCAACATTGCTTGCTACCTTTACCCTTGTACAGTGGTAGCACAAGGGTATCCTCCAGCTCAGGAGGCACCTCCTCCTCAATCCATACGCGTTGAACCAAGTGGTGCAGCGCATTCACTAACTCGGGTCCGCCGTGTTTCGCTATTTCAGGTGGGATCCCGTCGACCCCTGCACATTTGCCGTTTCGCAGCTGAGCAAGTGCTCTCTGCATCTCATCCAGTGTCGGCGTGTCCACTAGACTCGCCTGCACATCGTGCTGCTTGAGGCCGTTCAATGTAGGCCAGTCGATCACTGAACGGTTGTTCAAAAGACAGTCAAAGTGTTTCCGCCGAACCGGCATTATGTCTGCAGTCTGTGTGCAGGTAGCGCTTGAAATACCATCGATCAGCGTCCTCAGCGGCTCCAATCTCGGTCCATACATCGCCTTCAAGGTGTCAAATAATTTCTTGTGTTCTGGCGTTCTGCGTAGCATTTTATCTGCTTCACATTCTCCGTTCATCATGCATTTTTAATGTGACGGTGCTCTCCGGTCATTCGCCGTCGAAGTTTGCGAAACTGACTATTCTTCCCCAATTTACTGGGATCTGCCACATGAACAGCAAAGGCTGCATTCTTCTCACACACCAGTCGCCACATTGTTGTCATCAAACCAATCAGGCCGCTTACAGTTTGCGCGGTCGATGGTCTCCACGACAGCAGCTGTCACCTGGTCGCCAATTTGCTGCCACAAGTCGCCTACTGTGGCTATACCTTTCACTTCACACAGGCTTGCAGTCATCGCCTTCTCCAGCTCAATGCGTTTCGCCACAGTACCTAGAGAGATAATGTTAAATTTACGCCGATTCACTGCGGGAGTGCAATGGCGTAGGCTACCATTATTTACGGATTCTTGGTGAACTTGAACGTCTTTTGTTCTTTACTTACCAATGATAGTATTAGATTATGCGAGAACATTCATCGACCAATGCGTGTTTACTCCACTGGATTTCCGGAAGAGGGTCGAATTTGGATTCATTTAGGATTTACTGATCCATTCTTTAGGAGGCGCGCCTCCTAACACCTTGAACTCCACCGTTAAATTATTTCAATCTGGGATTGACTTGCAGTGGTGTGACGGGGACTGCAGGAGTGGTTGTTGGAGCCATGCGCTTATCTTGCTGAGTAGGCTCTGTTGTTGACAGCTTGAACTCGTCCAACAGTATTTCCAGTGATATAGCCAAGACATTTTCTCTTCTACTGAATGTTGTGTATCTCCTGAGCTGGTTAATGTGGCGAGCCCGCTTGTCATCGCTTGCGGCCACTTCGTAGCAGACATGGCCAAGTCTTTTTATAACCAAAACCAGGTGTCCAGGTGATTTTTTTGTTTCGTTAATCTTTTTCCGATACTTGTCCCATGTCGAAATGCCGTAGTATAGCGTGATTTCATCGGTTGTGCTGATGTTCTATCCAACTTCGCTCAGAGTTGTGTCTATCAAGCGGCCTTACCCGATCGAATTTCGTTCGAGTCCTTCTAAGTAAAAGCATTTCTGTTGGGGTTCCTTCTTTGGACGTCTATTTATTAGGTCTGTTAGCAGTTAGCTCTGTAGGAGCTCTTGTATTGACCCGTCTCCTTCAGCTTTGAGCAGTGCGCTCCTGAAAAAATCTACAACTTTCTCAGCTTGCCCATTGGACACTGGATGGTAATGATGTGGACGCACATGCTCCATGCCGTGTAACGCACAGGACTCCGTGTGTGACGTCCATTGTCTGATACCGTTGTTTACGGAAAATCGAACCAACTGAATACTTCCCTGTGGGTTGTGATCGTGACCGATGTTGAAGTGTTCGACATTTGGAAGATCTCTGCCCACTTGCGGTCTGTATCGATGAAAGTGAGAAGTTGTCCTTTGATTGTCCCTGCACAATCAAGATGAGCCCTGGACCATAGTTTCTTGGCGCCGGTCAGGAAAACAGTTCGCATTTCCGCGGTGGTTACACTGTTAGGGCACACTTTGAACGAGACTGGACCTTAACGTGGTGCGACGGTTTGCGTACCTCATTGACCCGTTGAGCTATACTGAGTGATGCCTCCGAGCATCTTGAGAGCTACTCCTACCAGGTTGGTCAGTGGTGAGAGGTCAGACAAACTCAGTCTCCTGGTCCTCCAGGTTGGGGGTTTGAAATGGAATGGCGTCCATTTCTGTAAAACTAAATCACTGCCACCCCGCTGCCTTGCGGACAGGCTTTTGAGCCAAAGGCTTTGGATGAGGACCATAATCGTCCTCCTGTCTAGGTCTGGTCGCCCTGGCAGTATCCCAGCCCACATACCATCATGACATGTTCTTCAAACATAAACTTCATCCTGCATCGGCCGTCGCGCAGATTATCAAGCGTCGCCTTATCTGCTGCATACAGCAGGGCGGATAAACGAAAACATGCTACTGCTGGCGCCTCCCTTCTTTCTTTTCTACCTTTTTCTCCTACTCCCATCCCGGCCCCCATTACTAACCTTCCTTCTATA